GGGGGGGGGGGGGGGGGGGGGGGGGATTACCCGCTTTATCGAGTATTCGGGTCGGGATGGGGCGGGTACGGATAACAGGGACCCTGCCTCGCTCCCCTTTTTTTCTTCAAATGAAAAACTCCACGAAATTTCATTAATATTAATAGAAGATAGCAATTAAGATTATCTAATGAATATAATAAACAATAAAAATCTTAGTTTACCAAAGATATTTCAATAATTTAACTTTTAAAAAATAAATAGATAAATTAAAAAATTTAATAACTATATTATTGTCCCACTTTAATGAATGTGGGCAATAAAATAAATTATATAAAAAAAAATTAAAACGGGTACTAAACGAGCAAGGTCCCACCCACCCAGCCTAGCCTTAAACGGATAACGAGGTAAAAAATTGTCCGAAGAAACAGAGCGAGGGGCAGGGCAACTTCCTCCACCCCATTGCCATCCCTATACAATACCATCAAAGAGAAGAGCAACACAAAAGTCGCCTTGTTCACGATCTATTATTATACCACTCTCAATGCATTGCATTTGCCCAAATCAGTATCCAATGAGGACTTTCGCACCATTCATTGACCGTCTCATAGAGCAATCAACTCGGTTGTTTTAGAGTTCAAACTTTCTATTCACCAAATAGCACTAGATGTAGCCAACAACCCATTAATACCGTATTGAAATGAAAATACCGACTCTCTTTTTTTTTTAAATACAAGTCGACTGCTTGACGTAGCATGATTTATGAGTATCAAGAGCAAATAAAGTACAATTTAGGAGTGGTTGAACCTAAGGATAGCAAATTGGCTCGTTGGCTCTATGAAAAAAACTCGAGTCTGAAAAAAGTCCGAGCTGGCCCGACTCAAGGCTCAGTAAGGCTCGGGCCGAGCCCCATCTTGGGATGCCAGGCAGAGCTCGAACTAGCTCAAAAAAAATAATAAAATAAAATTCAGCAGCCAGTTGCCTTCAAAACAAAGACAGCAGGCTGCAACCTTTGTTTTATGGGGGGAAAAAACATAAAAAACAAAAAAATAAAAATTGAGCCGGCATGGCTCAATAAGGCCCAAGCCGAAAGCTTGGGTCGAGCCTCATTTTTTTTACCGAACTTTTGCTCGGCTCCACTAGGGCCAAGAAAAGCTCGAGCCGAGCCCGAGCCTCAAATTTTGGCTCGCAAACCGGCTCAACTCGACTCGTTGACACCCATAATTGAACTTGACTAAGCTAGCAAAGAATCATTAAAATGAGTACTATATTCCATATGCTCGAATCATATTATATGTCATCATGCACTTAGTTAGATACTTGATAAGCCTGTTGTCGTTGTCTAAACTAATTTTTGGTAATCAAAGCCCCTTGAATCATGTGTTTCTCCATTGATGTGTCCATAAGCATAACACACCACCTCCTCCGTGAATTCCATAACCTGCATTGGCAAGGCCTTACTACTCCGTCTTTTAGAAGCTTTGCTTACACAACGTTGAATACATGTAACCCATATCAAATTCAATTAGGCTCGTAATTGGATCCTTTTCTGCATGACAAACCAACCCCATGTTATTAATTCATATATTTTGTAGGATCAATTCTCTTACTTGTATTCAAAGTGCTAGTAACTTCACGCCTACCATCTGAAGACTTGCTTGAACCAGAGATAACTTCATGAACTAATTCGTCCAAGGGAAATTTTAATTGACAAGTGATTTTCACACTTCTATTCCTGAAATGGACAATTAAGCGGGTTCCACAGAGTTTGCTTTAAAAGAAAAAAAATAAAAAATGAACCAAGTCTTCAAAACAAAGGCAATTATGTTCAAGCTCCGAAAACCCTATCCAATTCTATTTCTCATGCTTTCTTTCTTCGTATCATGGTGCAAGATTGATATGTTAATTCAGGAATTATGTAATATGGATTTTGAATCATCCCTCTACAAATGTTACTTCAAAAAGCTTAATTGCATACTATCCAATATAATCGATAACATTAATCGCTTATCACTAGTCATATCTAATACTATTCAATGCAGTATATCAAACATACAAGTGAACCTCAAATGTTGCGTGTATTTGTAAGTTAGATTCAAGATTCTTCTCTAAATTATTAACTAATCATTTAAGTATTCTAATTGCAGTCCTCCAATCCTAATTAAACTTTAAAATTAAATAAAACCATCAAGGACAATAAACTATTATAATAATCATTTAATAGTACTATTTTTTTTTCTTGGTACGTCACCCACTTCCCCTTTCACACACCCATTTTCTTCCCTTTAGCAAAGGAATCAACAATGTGCTTGTCCTCTTAACTTAAAATTCAATGACAACTGTCCATGTAGAAAAATATGCACCACACTTCACGCAATAAATTTAACTTTTCAAAAACTTTGCACTTTTTATTATATCCCCTCTTAGACTGTGGATTGTGACATGTACTCTTCCATGTTCATCGAATACCAAAGAGATATGTTCGAACTTTAACGTGAGAATAAAAGGGACGATAGAAATTAAGGGGTCCGAACACTATACGTAAAAACATGATACGATGAAAAAGACGCGTCTCACTCACAAACATGCAGATATAAAAAAAAATAAAAAATGAAGAAGAAGAAGATGTAAGGTATATAAGCTATCTATCAGAGCAGTGAATCTCCTTCCAACTGGCCACATTATTTTTCTCTTTGACGTTAACTAGGAACTGTGTATGAAAGGATATATTGAGTCTATACATACATACAGCTCTCTCTCACTCTCTCACACACACACACACAATTTTTCTTCCTTTCTCTCTCTAAAAGTATGACAGGTAGATCATAATTGCATGGAAAATGGCCTTCTTCCCCGCCAATTTTATGCTACAAACTCGTAATGAAGATGAACATCAACCCTCCACTTCTCTCAATCCAATTCTTCCCCATTGCAACCCTCAAGAATTTCATGGTCCCCTCTCTCTCTCTCTCTCTGTCTCTCTCTACATATACATACATGAACTGTGTACATATGTTTCAACATCTTAATTGGATTTTTGACACTTCTTGAACTGATGCAGGTGTGGTTTCACTTGAGGGGAAGAGATCGTCGATGTTTCCCGATGTTTGTGAAGAAAATCATGGGGAAGACTATATGTCGGACGATGGATTACAAGTGGGAGAGAAGAAGAGAAGGCTTAACATGGATCAAGTGAAGACACTTGAGAAGAACTTCGAGTTGGGGAATAAGCTCGAGCCCGAGAGGAAAATGCAGCTGGCTCGGGCTTTGGGCCTGCAACCGAGACAGATTGCGATTTGGTTTCAAAACAGGAGAGCAAGGTGGAAGACAAAGCAATTGGAGAAAGATTATGAAGTTCTTAAGAGACAATTTGAAGCTGTTAAAACAGATAATGATTCCCTTCAAGCACAGAATCAGAAACTTCAAGCTGAGGTATGTAAAAAAAATCTAACATATTCTGTGTTTTACATTAGATCCAAAAAAACATGAAACGTTTCCTTGAGTAAATGGATTGGAACCAATCACAGAGCATCTGGTTTCGACTGCTGGACGTTACGGTAAAAAAGAATTTAACTTCTTTTTCATCCTTAACAACTGTACCAAACAAATCATTAGACAATTATTAGATTATGATTATCTTATTTTATTATCAATGTAACTATGAGAATATGCTAGACTTAAATCTTGGAAGCATCATAATTTAGCACAAAACTTCATATTAGATTACTAAATTAATTGTTCCAGATAATGGCACTGAAGAAGAGGGAACCAACGGAGTTGATCAATCTGAACAAAGAAATGGAAGGTTCTTGCAGTAACAGAAGTGAAAACAGTTGTGATATTAAGCTAGACATATCAAGAACACCAGCAAATGGCAGCCCTTTATCTACACACCCCTCAACCAGACCCCTCTTTGCACCTTCCATGAGGCCTAATGGTGCGGCACAACTTTTCCAGGCGTCGTGTAGACCCGCTATTCAGTGCCAGAAACCGGAACAAACTGTGAAAGACGAAAGCTTCTGTAGTATGTTATGTGGCATGGACGATCAAACCGGATTCTGGCCATGGCTAGACCAACAGCATTTCAGTTAATCTGAAACTCCTAATGGCCTTATAAATAAGTATAATTGATATGTGGATTTAATTATGATATTTTACGAGTTAATTTGAATTCTTGATTTTGATTTTTAGGCTGGTATACAAATGAAGGTGTATTGACCATCTCTGCATTACATGTTACACCCACGTTTTCTGCAAAATTATGTTAATCATGGTGATGTCCCTAATTCCTATGATTGTGTGAAAGAAAACTGAATTAATGCTTTCAAATTTATCTTAAGCAAAGTCATTTTCATTTTTTCTTGAATGAATTTCGCACTCAAGAGAGAAGGAATCAAAGACACATTTCGAAAGAAAGAGGACAGGGAGATGGAAGAGTAGAAAACAAGGAGAGTTGGAAGATGTCATTTTCATGAAGGGAACACAGACAAAAGTTTGTGCTGACAAGTGAAAAAAAGGAGTGTGGGATTGTACTAATGACATGGTAGCAAAGAAAAATGTCACCACCCCTTTTTTGGACTTTCAGAGAAAAAATTCCTGTGACCGTCTGTCACCCATCCCTAGCATCTAGGTAGCTAGCACATCATAAAAGGTGCGCGTGGTACTAGGCACTAGACTTGATAGAATAATAAACGAATTTTATCTTCTTAATTTCTCAAAAAATAAAATTTCTTGTACATTTCATGATGATAATTTGAATGATATTGTTCGTAAATTCAAAAATATTTTGGCGAAGTGTGTTGGATTCAAAAATTATTCAATCATATGTCAACACATGACACAATGTCGACAATAACGTCAAATAAAATGTATAAATAACATGATTGTTTTAAAAATATTAAGTAGACAAGACAAAATAATCTAATGAACAAAATTTTTCATCTAGAGCCTGTTTATCTCTCATTATGAAAGAAATTATAGAGTTTTAAATAATATTTTTAAAGAATGTGTGGTTAAAATTTAAATAAAATTTATTTTTTTGTGTTTACAATATTTTATTAAATAAATATGTGATGAGCAATATTACTATAGCAAACAATTTAATCCATGTTTGGCCCTCATTAAATTAAAATTCATTCCTCTCTCTCCTTATTAATTCCTTGTTCGAGATGTATTATTTGAAAAAAAAAAATATGCATTCTTAAACAGTGATTGACATCATTTCAAAAACATATTTTTCAATAAAATAATATTATACGTAACTCCAAAATTTTTCCTTATTTTTAACCACACATTCTCCATCAATCTATTACTCCAAAATACAATCTTAAAAAATAATATGACTCAAACACACATTAACCCTGCATTCTTCAATAAAATAATATTACACGTAAACCAAATAATTTTTCCTTTCTTTTTAACTACATACTCTTCAAAAAATTACTATTCTTTTTATTATAATTTGAAAAAATGAAACCCAAACAAAAGCTTATTTGTTAAAAGATGGCAAACAAAGACTTAGTAGTATTCAATCCTCCACCCAACATGCTTAAAGTCACAATGAACTACAGCCTGAAATTTACTGAAAAAAATAATTAATTTACTTTGTCATTTCTAGGCTAGACACTAAAGGTTAAGATAGTCATCCGTTTACTCAAATTCCCTCTTCAAGAAACTCGAATATGTTGATTATATTCTTTAATAAAGGTGCATATTTTTTGTTACTTTCACTGCGACAAATTTTCAATGATTAGGGAGACAAAGGCCTAACTCTAGTAAAAAGACTTAAACCTTACCAAGTCATTGACCGTGACTCTGATTCGAGCTTCGTATAAGGGGGTAAAAAAAAAAAAAAAAGAAGGTGTTTTCAATGTTTTAGTGCACATATAATTATCACATACACAGAGCAGTTTGGATATCCATCAGAAAGGAACACTAAAGTGCCTAAAACTAAAGTTCAGCGCATCCGAAATTTTGTACATAGACAAGAAAATGCGACAAATGAGGTGCTATACGAAACAGAATATACCCGTTTAGGCCAATATTCATTTGTTATTATCTCGGTTACCCAAATCAGCAGCAACTTGAGCAGCTCGATTTAAAGCACCCGACACCCAAAGGGCTCCCTTAGAAAAGTAACTACTATTAACCACAGCAGAAGCAGCAGAAGCAGCTGTTCTTCCAGTAGCTGACACTGCTGATTTAGTAGTATCTGATATGTGATACTGCTGATCCACGGATCTTGCTGCTTCAACCCCAGCTAAAATCTTGTCGGTGAGTCCAATTCTCTCGCTCAACTCAGCAACCTTAGCAACTGCAGTTGATGAAAATTGGTGAGATTCGTCGAAGGCTTTTGCTCTGCCTAATGCATCTTTTCCGAGTACATATCCTTTAGCTATCATCGTTTTGACTACATCTTGAGTCACAGTCACAGCTTCCCCAGCAGATGAAACAAACAAGTGCTCTTGCGCATGCTGCTAAAATAGTAAATGAATTGATGGAAAGTAGCAAGGGGCAAAACAAATTGAACAACAAAATAAAGCAAATATGCATACACTTGGACTGCTTTCATCTTCTAGGTTCCATGTAGTCCGATTCCAGAGATCACCACCATCCTCGTAATGTCCCCATTTGGTTATGCATACAGGTTGATCCACAATGGTGGCTCCCTGACATAGACGACACGAGCATTCAGCTTGACATAAAAATTCATGAGAATAGTGAAGTGTAACAGTACAAACTTGGCGAAAATCATGACAGGTATAAATACTTGCCAAAATGGGACATGTTCCTAATATTGTTCTGGAACAATGTATAAATCCATATCAAGTATTGCAGTTACTTCTACAAGACAATTTTTTTTTTTTTTTTTTTTTTTACAAGGTGTCCAATTCTTGACTAATCCTTAGGTCTGTGATCCGGCCCCTCTTCACACAGTCCAGTTAATCGCGGAATGTGCCTCCAACTAGCCAAGGTCCAAGCCTTCCCACCTGATCTGCCAAAGTGCCAAGCAAGCCAACCCAAGTTGCACCTTGCCTTCCAAGAATAATCCTTGCCTTCCAAGATTTCTCTTGCCTTCCAAAAATAAATCCTTGCCTTCCAAGAACCCCATGAAGACAAGATTTCTACAAGACAATTTTGATTTGAAGATAGAAGGTGCATGTAGTTTTCACCTAAATGACCTTAATTACAATATTTTTTCCATTTTTCAGAGGTAAGATATCTTTTATAACAAAAAAAGACCTATTGTTCTCATGGTGAAGTGCATACGCCATAAGAAAAGTAATGATAAACAAAAAGTTATATTGACATGATGGTAAAATAGCTCTTAGGGAAGATAAATAGCTCAGATGACCTCAAATGTGAATGACAAGCTCAAAGGGGCCAATATTGGTCATTAAACGAAATATGTCACCAGAAAAATCATGAAAGTAGTAAAGAACTAGAATTAGTAACTCAGATGTAAGCATCCCTATTAAATACCAAACCCTGCAATGCATGCTTGTGCCATCAGTGAAAATAAAAACAAAACAGAACTTACACTGAGCAACACTGCTGTTTCCAGAGCATGAAGATTTTTGAATGTCACGTAGGCTGTACATGCATATTCACCAGCTCTGTTTGAACAAAAACCACAGATATCACTTTTAATTAGGAATTATTAGAGTTCCGAAGAACGTAAGATAAAAGCATGAACATAAAAAAATATAGCATAGATGCTAATGAGAATGGAGCTAGAAATGTATAGTTACATTTTTAAATAAAAAAAAAAATGCAGAAACAATGACTAGAATCCAATTGTATACTGAGTATGTGAAGCTAATCCATTTCAAAATTATATCAACAGAGGAGAAAGAGTACCGCCACCTAGGAGTGAAAGCAGTCCAGTTTGGGCAGTTTTTGACACATTCTTAAACCTAAGCAAAAATGTTGAGAACAGTTTGAGCAAAACTCAAACCAAAACCAAACGGTTTGGTATGGTTATAAACTGCTCTGGGTTTATTTGCATATCTTTAGTAAAGCTATTTTTATTTTAGAATCGTAGGATTTGTTTTTTATTTTGTAGTTAGAACGAGTAAGGTAACTACACTTATCTCTACATTTCTTGCTAATTATTTGGCATAAGATGTTAGTAGGTTTGTGGGATTATGCACTCGTTCGGGCCCCATTATTTGAGAGTTTAATAGTTGGAATAGTGTTTTTTTTTTTTTTTTTAAAAGAATGCACAGTTAAAAAGGAAAAAGAACTTTTGGGATTATGTGCAACATTATTTTATGGGAGAATGTGTGAATGATAAGAAAAGAGAGAAAAATAAATTATAATAATGGGGGGCCAAACAAGGGCTATGTATTCTATATCTCTATCTACAAGAGAGCAAAAGAAATGAAATGAGCAAAGGGAGAAATTACTTCCACAAATGTATTCTTTGTATTTAGGAGGTTTTTTGGTTCCTCAAAATACCATATATTTCACAGATTAGTTTTTCTTGAATTGATCTACATATTTTGCTATTCTTTTCCTATTTTGTTTTATTCTTAGTTACAAACAATTCGTGTTTGTAACATTTGATATTAGAGTCGGGCAAGAAAGCAAGAAGTGAATCTGAATAATGGAGCAACGACTGGCGAATATGGTGCAATCTATGATTATCGAACAAAAAGAATCAAGAAATTTTCGAGCAAGATAAATGATATATCAAAAACGTCTGAAGCAAAATTGAAACAATCACTAAGTGATAGTCATACCACAAACATGCTGAAGAAATTTTACATCTTTGATTGAAACTCAAAGTGTGGCAATTCCAACACATGATGAAACTGTTTAATAATAAGAAAATATTGTGATGCCATTTCAAATTCAAAGTGCTCAACAAATTCGCGTTATAAAGAGTTCTAGGAAGTCGCGTATAATGAAGAGGGTAGTAGTGCAAAATTCCTTCCTCATGGCTCTGGTGTTGTAACTTCACAAGGCAAGGAAATTCGGACTTACGCAGCGGAGCAGATTCACTCATTTATCCTTGGTTCTCAAGGAAAGTGGTGATGAAAGTGATAGAATCATGAGGAAGACAAATCAAACCTTCTGTGCTTCCATCTCCCTCAATACTTACTTTCCCAATGTGGTCAACTTCACTCTATTTGATCCAACCAGTTTACCAAAAATTTCTGTTGAGTGGAAACCAAAAAGGTCCTTTACCAATCAAGCACAAAACTTGAAGATGAAAATTACGGTTGATTTGAATGAGCATCTCCAAAAGAGGTTTGAAGAATTGTCGTATTTAATTATAAATTGGAAACGGACAAGGGTGTTTTCAAGGGGATGAGTGTTATGGGTCTATTTTTTGTGTTTTTAGTGAAGCAGATTTTATATTAGAATTTAAGATTTCAGTTTTATTTTTGTAGTTAGAATGAATAAATGTAGTTACATTTCATGTCTGTATTTCTTCCCAACTATTTGGGATCATGTGTTAGTGGGTTAGTGAAATTACATATTTTAAATCTCCATTTAAAGAAAGCAAAGAAAATAAATGAGAAGAGGGAGAAATAACTACAAAAGTATTGTTTGAATTTGGGAGGTTTGTTTCCTCAAAATACTAAATTATTCGGAGGTTTAGGTTTCCTCAAATTAACCTACAAATTTCACTATGCTTTTTCTATTTTCGGTTTATTCTTCATACGAACAATTTCTTCATAATATAAACTCAGGTATAATCATATATATTTTCCCTTCCTATTCACTTTAGTGTGACTTGTTCATTGACTGCAAAATCTTTCTACTTAATCGACAAAGAAATAAAATAAAGTATAGAATTAAATGCTAAAAACACAAAATGAAAACTAACAACAAAGTGATCCGTTTACGTTTTCAGGCTAAATCTACACAAAATAAAAGATAAAGCAAAATCATAATAAATCTCTATTACACAAAATATAAATTATGCATATTTAGTTCAAAACGTAAATTAAAATTGTAATTTAGGATTCTAACATTCATCCAACTTTCCCATAAATTCTAAGGTTTCATTTTTATTATTGTTCCAATTCTTCAAAGGTTTAGTTTGGTCTCAAAGTGCACTTAAAATGGTGAATCCCAAACCAAAAAATTTGTTTGTTTCAAAACCATTTCATTGACAGTCCACGTAGGACAAAGTCGACATTTCTAAACAGTTACTAGGCTTCGATATTCTAGTTTGGCGATTTTTGCTTACAATCATACTGCCACCCCCAAAAAATAAAAAAAACAAAACTTTAGCTACCAAAGCAAAGCATGAAACCTCAAAGCTACTCTTAGCTTTCACTATCACTAAATTGTACCCTTTGAAACTCTATTCAATGATCTTGTAGTATTGTACTCCTAGGTAAATGACCAAAAAAAGAATGAGCGAACTTTTTTGGCAAACATATCAGTTTATTTAGTCAGAATTCGTATGTTTGGAATAGGGATGGCAATTTTTTTCCCCGCCAAACCAGAGCCGTGTGGTGCACCACCCCATTTATGAGGGGATTCCTACTTAGTCAAGGCGAGGGTGCAATTATGTGGCAAAAAATTGTTGTCCTGGGATGGGGTGGTGCAGGGACGGGGAATCCCTGCCTCACCCCCTTTCTTTAGTTATTTAAAGAAAATCAAAATTTGTTTGAGATCACCCTAGCCAAACTTTCTTGTACCCAAACCCAAACCAATTACCCAAACCCATTAATCTAATTTTTAAATTACCTACTTGCTCACATAATCTACGAAAAAAACTTCAAAAATATTTTTTCTTTAAAAAATTATTTAAAAAAAAAGGCAGTAAATGAGGCACCACAACCCATCCCCGACCAGAGCTGTTGTCATCCTTAATTTGGAAAAGGTGGGAAAAGGTAATATGAAGATTATTCCATAAAGATTTTTCCAATTGTGAAAGCCCTGCAAGCTCTGGGGTGAATATTCTAAAATATGTCTACAAACTAAAAAGTCGAAAAATATGCAAAACGTGAGAGAAACCGATAGAAAGGGTACAGAGGTTTGCTTTTGTTCCATAAACAGGAAACAGAGACAGTGTCGGGATATAAAAGTGCAAAGGGAGCAACTAATCAGATATTTTTCTTATTGCTTTGATAAGTTGCACAGACTTCAAAAGTGTTGGGAATGTTCAAAAATATATTACACCAAGCAATGCAGTGTTACTAAGTCTGATTATACCTGATAATTTCAACATGTTGGACTGCACCACAGAAAGAGAAGAAATCGTGGACATCCTTTTCTGTTGCACTAGGAGACAAGCTTGTAACTTCTGCTGTAAAACCACTGGAACTCATTTCTATCAATGTGATCACGCCTCTCTGAACAAAGCAAGTTCGTACATAAGCATTAAAAGCATATTTTCAGAACATTAATTCACCACCTAAAAATGAAGCCAAAATAGTTCTTCACCTTGAAAAGAAAGGCCAAGGAACTCTATAGGCTCTCAGGTTAGAATAACAAAGATTCAAGAGTTCTGAACATATATTAAGTAATAATCAGCTTCCATAAAGGACTAGTTTCCTTCAGAGTGTAGGACTAACGTAATCTCTCACTTGTAGTTGATTGCGCTTTTCACACGAGTACTCCATGTGAACTTAAGTACTCAGCAACATAATTTGGTGAAGTGATTTCCTGATACCAATTTCTTGGTGACTAGATTTTAGAATCCCATTTATAGAACCATCTTAAAACTAACTAGAACACCAGAAATACAAATGATGATTAATCATTTTACAATTAATTATTGAAATTTCAATCTTAATTAAGCAACAAAAAAGGTTTTCCCAAAAGCGATGTTTGGCTCATGTTCATAAAAACATCTCCAAAAAACTCTGTATTTATAAAAAGCATCTTATACATAATAAAGAATATCTTTAAATTTAAAGAATAAACTTTTTATACCCTCTAACAATGCTCTCTATTTTGACTCATTTCATTTTTTCTAATAAACATTTATTGATTTATCGTCATCTCTTACTTAACATAATTCTTTTATATGTTAATGGCCAATCAATTCAAATGTGATTTGAATAATTTAAATTATAGAGTATTGAATTTTTTAATTTATAAATACAATCATCGTTAACTAAGAATAGAGAGTGAATTTAACTCTCCAAATTTCACACTTTATTTTAAAAAGTTGAAATACAGAGCCTTTTGGAGATTATTCTTAAGCATTGACTATCTAAATTAAGCGTCGGTTTGGTTGCACTATTTACAAAATTAAAATTCAATTTTTTACCATTAGTGGGTCCCACGTCTGCCTTGTAGTGTGAAGGAAGCCAACAATTGCGGCTACTAATGATCCAATAATTCATTAAAATTTGGATGAAAATTACCACCGGGATGGAAATTATTTTAATTGATTAAGTGAAATTTTGTGGAATGTCGATTTTGTACTTCTTAAAACTTGTCAAATTTCAGTCATCCTTTGACTTAATGAACTTTTGGCTTGTCTGAAGGTCATTTTGCTACTTATTTATCAAAAGGCCATGGATCACACCGTAAAAAAAAAAAAAAAAAAAAAAAAAAAAAAAAAAAAAAAAAAAAAAAAAAAAAAAAAAAAAAAAAAGCGAAGAAAATTCTAGATTCATTTGCACCTTTCAAAAAGGTTAAGGACCCAACTACAATTTTTCTCCAGTTTTTTATTTCTAGCGCGAGGTTTATTTATTTCCTTTCAATACTGTATAATTGAGATTTTCACATGTCAAAAGTTGTGTAAAAATTGAATATAAAATCACAATTATATTTTCTTCTATAATAACTCTTTTAATAGTATATTTATACTATTGCATCTTAAATAAGCAATTAGATATATTCTTTATTAATCTAATAAGAAAAGATAAAATGAGAAAACTCTATTAATCAATTTCTTTATAATTTTCGCTTTCCAAATTGGATACATTTCCGAGAGCACCGTTATCTCTACCAAACTATTCTAACAACATATTCAATCCACGGAATATATTTTCTTTTACTCTTTTATTTTCTTATTATTAACTATTTTATTAGAACTATTTCTATCTATTCATTTTACTCGTCGAATCGTTCTTTATATTCAACACACATCATTTCTATTCATCGAAATATCTATTATCGTTCAATATAGATATTTCAAACATCAAGAAATTGAAATCTCAAAAACTTATATGCAGGAAAAAAATTATTTAGAACTCCAAATATAATTCTCCCTTCAACTAAATGTAATTTCATATGCTACAATTTCCATCAGCTTATTTTCGTAAATAATCACCAACTTATGGGGTCACTACGGAAACATGACCTATCATTTCATATTTGATAATAATATCCTCATTTCAATCTTTGACTGCACAATTGGTCCTTTCCGTAAGTTGTTCAATTTCTTTGCTAAAAGGCATGCGCGACACCTGTATTCTTTCATGAGGGTAATTTTGTCCAAATGCTACTGTGACCTCTTGGGCACAAAAAATAAAAAGTACCGCTATTTACCTCTACAATATATATATATATATATATATATATATATATATATATAGGATAATTGATACAAAACGTCCTTACATTTTATATTTATTGTAGAAAACGTTTACACCTTTCATTTTTTGGGTATTTTTGTCCATATTTCTACATTTCTTGGCGCTGAACGTCATTTTCACTAATTTTGGACAATTTTACCCACCATTCAAATAAAATAAAAAGAAAAGAAAGGAAATAAGATATAACTAATTGCAACAATAGCCTTCAATTTTTAAAAAATTACAAATCAATCACAAATATATACAAAATTTATAACATAGGTGACAACAACTATGGAACCCAATTTCCTTAAGGATCATAATGTATTTTATCTCCATCTGATGATCTCTTCTTCAAAGGCCATTTGCTTCCCATTGAGCCTTCAAGCTTTTTGTTGAATTCTCCAGAAAATAACTCGAAATTCCATGCGATTTTAATAAAATCAACCACGAAATTTCGTGTTCTTCTTTTGAAGCTCAAGAACTGAATTATGTTGCAACTAATTATAGGTTCTGATTCCAATAGAGATAATATTTATGAACAAAATAAAGTTTTAAAAAACTTAGAAAAATTAAATATTAATAATATGAAATACATACAACCATTTTTGTTAGATTTTGAAAGATTAGCAAGCGCAGCAGGATTAGCATTAGATTACCCTATACTTGAAAGATTATATAGAAAGATACCACCACCATGGAATGATAAAATTAGAAAAGACGTAGAGTATTTACACATATGAAAAGTTAGATAATTTAGAAATAACAAGTAATTCTGAAGACAGTTATGATAGTTTAGAAGAACTAGGTTTTTCAAGTTTAAATATAAAGATGATGAATATAAAACAAGAATGTATCCATAAATGGATTAGAAGAAAATGATTAATGATAAATAAATGTAAAATATACAGAATATACCTAGGACACAAAAATAGAAATCAGTGTAAGAATTGTTTAGAAATTCAATGCAATAATTGTTTAGGTATTAAGGAAGAAATAAATAAAAATAAAAATAAAGACTATAGTGAAAGTATAGAAAGAATAGAAAATAAAATAATAGATACAAATAATAGAATAGATAAAATACACGAAACATTAGGAGAATACAATACAGGATCAGAAATCTAGAAGTAAAAGGAAAACAACCTATAGATAATTACACAAAAAATAATTATTTGGAAACAGAAAATCAGGAAGAAATAATTTGTCAAATATTTAGAGTAAAGACAACAAAAAGTATCATAATACATATAGAAGTACAAATAAACAAAATAATAAAATTAAATTTGATAGCATTAATAGACACAGATTGTACATTTAATATAATCAGAAAAGATTTAGTATCAGAAGATTGTAGACAGAAATTAGAATATGAAATAAGAGGAAGTCAAATGAACGGTAGTAAAATGGGATTCGAAGAGAGACTTTTTGATGATTGTAAGATTAAATTTCAAGAAAGACAATATAGTTTAACGACTATATTAATTAGTGTATTGATAAAAGATGAATTTGTTATAGGAATAAAATTCTTGCTTAGTAGAAATGGAAGTTTAACAATTACTCCTGATATTATAATTTTTGAAAAAGATACTTCTATTATTAATCATCAGAGTTGCGAGCTAAGCATGATGGACCCTTACAATCAGAACCAGACCCAGAAATTAAAGAAAATCAAGAAAACTTTGAATTTTTAGATAATTTATCTTTAAAAACTTTAAAAACAGATTTTATACCAAGAAATAAAGAATTAATAATTTTTAACAAGGCATCTTCTAAGATAGATAGCATGGAAAGAATTTTAGAATTAGCTGAAAAGATTCAAATAATAGGAGAAGGCCCTATAAAACATCAGGATAAAAATAAAATAAAAGCTAAATTAGAAATAATAAATGAAAACATAAAAATTAGAACAGCAGAAATAAAACATACGAATCAAGATATAGAAGATTTTAACATACAGATTAAAGAATTATTAGATTTAAAAGTAATAAGACCGTCTAGCAGTCAACACAGATCAACAGCCTTTATGGTTAGAAATCATAATGAAATAAAAAGAGGATAAATAAGAATGGTTATGAACTATAAAAGATAAAATGACAATACTGTAGAAGATGGATATAAAATACCAGATAATGATATACTAATAAATAATATATAAAATAGTAAGATATTTTCTAACTTTGATTGTAAATCTGGATTTTGGCAAATAAAAATGGCAAAAGAATCTATTCCTTAGACAACTTTTACTATTCCATTAGGACACTTTGAATGGTTAGTCATGTCTTTTTGATTAAAAAATGTACCATCTATTTTTCAAAGAAAGATGGATATTATATATATTTAATTCTCTTCCATTTGTTTGTGTATATATAGATGATATTATAGTACATAGTAAAAACTATAAAGAACATATGAAACATCTAGAGATAACCTTGAATAAATTTATAGAAAATTGTTTAATTATAAGTAAAAAGAAGATGGAAATAAATAAACAAAAAATTGAATTTTTAGAAATAATTTTAGGAGAAGGAAAGATTCAGTTACAGCCACATATAGTACGGACAATTTTACAATTTTCGGACAAAATTGAAGAAATCAAGAAATTACAAGTCTTTTTAGGAATATTAAATTATGCTGGACATTTTATTAAAGATATAGGAAGGAAAGTAGGACTATTGTATAGTAAATTATCTAGTAAAGGACAAAAATATTTTAATCAATCAAATATAGAATTAGTTAAAAAGATAAAAGCAGAAGTTAAAAATTTACCACAATTAGAATTACCATTAGATAGTGAATATAAAATAATAAAAACAGATGGATGTTTAGGATATAAGGGGTTGGAGAAGAAACAACACAAAATTATAGAAACAAAAATGAATAGAAATCATGAAATATGTCAAGAACGAATTTGAGGCTTGAACACGGGATCGTTGTCCTCAAACTATATTTGCTCCCTCTCGAGATTGAATGAGATGCTTAAGGATTTTGGCAAACGGTTTGTAGAATTATATCAAGCCTTGTAAAGGATTTAACACCAAAGCACAAGTACAGTCCTCCAAAACTTTAAGAACACAAAGGAAGATCTTGAATATGAACGTAGATCAATAGTTTGATTCAATAT